AAAAAACAAACAACATATCGAGCACGCGGTCAACATTAACGTTGAATCAGTATTTGTCGAAATATTCGTCAATGGTTGCCTCCGTCTGCAAGCTGTTTCAGAATAATCGCTTGCGTGCACGCTATCTGCTGTTGTTTGTGATGAATTATTGTGACTACTCCGGAATGTACTTTGACTTCCTTGTGAAGAATATTGACGATTAACATTGTTCGCCCAAATGAAACAACGGTCATGTTGCTGACGAGCTGGACAGCTGTAGAAATACTTTCCATAGTTCTTTTCAGTTCTTGCCATTAAAAGACTCGTGCGACCACGCCCACAAGAGCACAAAGAAGCTTCCATATTAAACTTTATTTTTGGATTTGCTTTTACCATTTTTTTTCCAAGTATTATTTTCCACTGGTTTGAGGATGTTTAGTGCAACTAAAAGGAAACAATTTATAGAATAAGGAGCACGCAATATCCGGGATCCTTCATATTTGATGTACATTTTTTTTTTTTTTGGGTAAAAGGACAAGCAATTTACGGGAATCCAGCTTCCATGGCATGCTTTAGATATAAGTAGTCAAAAAAGCTGTTGCCAGAAAAGAAAAACCAAAAGACCCTAAAACTTGTGGACTCTGTCAATGAAAGGACATTCCCTACTAAACCTACAGTCATTTTTTCTTATTAATTTATTAATTTAGTTACTATTGACGTACGAAAAAAGAAACAACTACAATTTAAGTTGAATAATTTCACACAACTTTAAAGTTGTATAATTTCGTTCAATATTTTTTTTTTTTTAAACGCTTTTCAGACATCCCCAAAGAAAAAAAGTCAGTGTAAACTAAACTTTCATTCTGATTATTTTTAATGCCAAAAAATTATACAAAATTAAAAATGCCTTCACCATGCTCAGAAAAAAAAACACCAAAACAAAAAAGTATACAAAATTAAAAATGATTCACCATGCTCAGAAAAAAACACCAAAATTTTACCATGCTCAGATTTCGGAACTTCTGCTCTTATCTTATACGGTCTCCATCAAAATCATACCAAACACTGATTTCTTGCACGAAGATATCTTCCCCACCGAAGATATCTGATTTATTCAAACACCATTCTAAACCCACACTATCTTCCGCTTCAAATGCCCTAAATCTTCTCCCATCTATTATTCTCTGCTTTCAAGCATCACCAAGCTATTAGCTTTTCTTGGAGCCATTGGCCGTGTTAGGATTGTTTTATATAACATGCTTCAGCTGCTACATATATATATTTGGTAGATAAAACCAATATCCACAAACTGAAACTGATTGAGTAAATAATTTTACACTAACTGCTTCTAATGTAGTTTGAGCTGGTTTTGTTTAGTCCTGGTCATTGGGGTTGTACTGATTACTACTGACTGCATATTGTTTGAAATTTAATGTGCTTTCACCTACTTTCCTGCATTTACATAAACAGGGTTTTTCGAGTTACATGAAAGCTCAATCTATGTAATAAACCCTACCCTCTCTCTCTCTCTCTCTCTCTCTCTCTCTCTCTCTCACACACACACACACACACACACACACACACATACCCCATTGATGATTATTGAGTTGAAAAGGGCTTTTGGTGAGGAATTGTGAGAATAAATTGTTTTTTTTTTCTTCTTTTTATGTTGGGGTAATGAGTAGAGATTTGAAGAAAGTTGAAAAGGGTTGTGATGTGGCTGAGAAGGTTGTGGTGGCTGTTGAGGCATCAAAGGATATTACACTTTTCTTGTGGTGTTCTCTTCTCATTCCTCTGGTAAATAATTTCTTAATTATATTGATTTGTTTCTTATTCTTTATCTTTTGTTTCTTGCCATTTTTTTTATGACATACTTGGTTCTGCAGTTGGTTTTTGTTTTTCTGTATCTTTGCATAGTATATTTGG